AAATCCACACACCTACGGACACATAATTTTTTTTGTTGGTTTTTTGAGACAGGGTTTCTCTGTAGCTTTGGAGCCTGTCCTGGACTAGCTCTGTACACTAGGCTGGCCTCGAACTCACAGAGATCCACCTGCCTCTGCCTCTGCCTCCTTTAGTGCTGGGATTACAGGCATGCGCCACCACTGCCCAACCAGACACATAATTTTTGATGAAGAAGCCAGAAACACACACTGGAAAAAAGACAGCATCTTTAACAAATGGTGCTGGTCAAACTAGATGTTGCATGTAGAAGGATCCAAATAGATCCATACTAATCACCCTGCAAAAAATTCCACTCCTAATGGATCAAAGACCTCAACATAAAATCACATTCACTGAACCTGATAGAATAGAAAGTGGGGAATCACCTTGAACTCATTGGCACAGGAAGATTTCCCGAACAGAACACTGTTAACGTAGGCATTAAGATCAACAATTAATAGCTGGGATCTCATGAAACTGAAACGCTTCTGTAAGACAAAGAACACGGCCAGTAGGACGAAATGGGAAAAGATCTTCACCATCCCCACATCCAGTGGAGGGCCGATTTCCAAAGTACATAAAGAACTCAAAACAACAACTGAATATCAAGAAAACAAATAACCCAGTAAAAATGAGGTACAAATCAAAACAGAATTCTCAAAAGAGGAAACTCAAATAGTGGAGAAACACTTAAAGACATTTCAACATCCTTAGTCATCAGGGAAATGCAAATCAAAACTGCTCTGAGATTCCGTCTTATAGCTGTCAGAATGGCTAAGGTCAATAACACAAGTGACAGCTCATGCTGCCGAGGCTGTGGAGTAAAGGGAACACTCATCTCTTGCTGGTGGGAGCGTGAACTTGTATAGCCACTGTGGAAATCAGTGTGGCAGTTCCAGGAAGATGGGAATGGATCTGCCTCAAGATCCAGCTAGACCACTCTTGGGCATATACCCAAAGGACGTTTCATCCAACCACAGAGGCACTTGCTCAACCAGTTTGTTGCTGCCAGAAATGCTGCTGTGTTAGAGTCAGAGGGGATGGAGACCATCCAGGAGACAAGACCTTCTAAACACAACAGGACTGATGCACAGGACCCGAAGATGGAAACAACCTAGATGCCCCTCCACAGATGAATGGATAAAGAAAATGTGGCACATCTACACAATGGAATATTACTCAGCCGTTAAAAAAATGAAATTGCTGGGCAGTGGTGGCACACGCCTTTAATCCCAGCACTCAGGAGGCAGAGGCAGGTAGATCTCTGTGAGTTCCAGGCCAGCCTGGGCTACAGAGTGAGTTCCAGGAAAGGCACAAAGCTACACAGAGAAACCCTGTCTCAAAAACAAACAAAATGCTAGTGCAATGGTGGCACAAAGCTTGGAGTAACCATCCAATATCTGATTTGACTTAAGGCCCACTCAACAACAAGGAACCCATACCCAACACTGCTTCGGAGACCAAGAACTTGAGACTAGATAGCCCAGGGACCTAGGGTAAAACCAAATACTACTGTTCCAAAGGAATATAGCAATAAAATGACTCTTAATGACATTCTGCTATGCTCATAGATCAGTGCACTGCTCAGCCATCATCAGAGAAGCTTCCTCCTGCAGCAGATGGGGACAGATACAAAGACCTACCATCCAATACTATGCAAAGAATGAGAGACCTTGGAAGACTCATCCCTAAGAGGGATGTCTATCAAATCCCTCCCTTCAGGGCTCAGGGGACCCTGTAGAAGAGAAGGTGGAAAAAGTGTAAGAGCCAGAGGGGATGGAGGACACCAGGGAAACAAGGCCCTCTGAATCAACAGGACCAATGCCCATAGGAACTCAGAGACTGAGGCGGCCCGCACAGGGCCCGCACATGTCTGTATCAGTTGGGGTCCCAGAGCTGAAAGGAGAAGTAGATACATGGCCCCCCCATCCCTCCCCCAGAAGCTGTCTCCAGTTGATAATGAAAATGTAGTTTTCTCCAAGGGAGTCTCACCAGGAAACACACGACTCTCCAGGGTAGGCTGCATGCCCTGCCGTAGATGGTCAACAGAAAATGAACCCAAGGGCACCGCTGGAGGTTCCTTGTCTCTTAGTGCCGTGTCAGGGCATTTTCTTTCATTCTTTATTATTTATTTTTGCTTATTTACTTATGCAGCATGTGCACGCACTGCCTGCAGAGGCCAGAAGAGGGCATCAGATCACCTGGAACCAGAGTCACAGACAGTTGTGAGCTGCCCTGTGGGTGCTGGGAATTGAACCCAGGTCCTCTGGAAGAGCAGCCAGTGTTCTTAACCGCTGAACCATCTTATTTTTATTTATTTATTCACTCATTCATTCATTCATCATTCATTTATTTTCTCCCTTATTTTTAAACCCTACAGATCCTTTTATGGCTTCCAGTTTAGTGTTTTTATGGGATTCCTGAGTGAGTGAATGAGGGGTTCCCGGTGTCTATATGTCAGGGGCTTAATCCTGTGACTGTTGGGAGAAGATCTTCCTAAATGAAAGAGATCAGATCCCAGAGACAAAGGGGACTCTGAAGCACAGGTACTCATAGTAAGAAGAGAAGTCTGTGATGACCCCTTGGAGCACCAGTCACAGTCAGGCTTATGGGTCACACAGGGCAATCTGAGGTCCCCAACCTTTCCCTTCAACGCTCATGATGGCTAATAAAGGCTGTGAAACCTTCGAGAGAGCAGCCCATTTTGTAGATGAGAACCTGATGGTCGGAAGGACATGTATCTGTTTAACTTCCTGCCGGCCTGCCTGCTCTTTTCTTTTTCAAGGTTTTGTTGTCGTTTGCTTGTTTGGGTTTGGATTTTAGAGGTAAGATCCTGTGTTCACATGCAGATTAGGTTAATACACGACCAGGATAAGCCTGTTCTTGGATTGGTCAAACCCTGAAGAGTAAGTCATGGAGACATAAGACTGCTTGTCTAACAGGTGGAATTTTCTAGAGCTCAGGAGGTGAAAAATCGGGCACACGAGAATAAATCCTTTATTTTTGCAGCCCTGGCCCTGCAGGGTAAAGACTCGTTTTAGAATGGAAAAACCTCCTCATGTGGGCTCACTGGGCGAGTCGTGGTTCAGTTTTCAGCGTGAGAAGAAAACGGGAGAGGCCATCTCAAGATGTGAAGAAATATTGAGGAGCTTGAATAAGTCTCAGGAATAAAGGTGGAGAAGAGGGGCCCAGGAATAGACAAATGAACCCCTTCCCATTTCTCCATAAAATTATTTTTCAGTGCATAGTTGATAACTTTGGGTTTAAGAGTGAAAATTGATTATACTTCAAAGACAGCTAAGTAGAAACTTAACCTGTATTTGAGGGAAGAGATAGAGTCAAAGAGAAGCAGATGTGTGTGTGTGTATGTGCGTGCGTGTATATGGGGTGGGGGGGGGTGGCAGCTTACATTGAAGCACTCAAGAAAAGCCCGTGAAGACAATGGTGTCTGGGAAAGGGTCGTTCTGGCCTTTTAGAAACACAATGGGGCTTGAGCCCATAGTCTGCCTGTCTGGGAGGGTTTGGGGATTACAGTCCTTTCTTGGGAGTTGATGGTGTGGATCAGCATAGAGGACCATGCATGTACAGCATTTCCTCTAATAACATATCATGTTAGTCCTTTAAGAAAAGCCTGTTAAGGTAGGGGTCATTGCTTTTTGCCCCTTCAGAGGCCCATTGAGATTTGAGCTTTTGTGTGAATGTGGTCATTAGAACACAGCACATCAGGACTCTGTAGTGGGGGAAGGAATAAGATGTTCCTGCCGGCTTCTATAATGGCAAGAAGAGGACCATGGCCCTTGCCATTGGCCCTCAAAGACAAAAAGCTGCTCACCTCTTGGCATAAACCTGTGATTAGCCACCTTGAAGCGTCCTCCAGAATTTGGCGCAAATCGCTAGCAGACTCAAGGCCCTCCTGTGGCACAGCGAGGACGTGTGGGGTTCTTGAGCAGCTAAAGCCTGGCTAGGTGAGGTCAGGAAATGCCTCTGTTTTCATCTTTAAAGTGGAGCTGATGGTCTGTCAGTCTCATAGGACTCCTTCAAGGATTGTGAACTCATACGGGGACTTCAGATCCGGCTGCATGGGGCACTGAGTCAGCCAACCAGTGGTCGCTGTTAGAGTTTCTTGCTTCTGAAGCCACACGTCCAGCTTCGTTACATGACAGGTAGAAAAGATGGCACTCGGAAAGGCAAAGCCTCTCAAAGCTGGGAGCTTGCAGAACATAACCTAAGAGCTTCTGAAAGGAAGTTGGCAACAGTCTGTTGTCCTCGTGCGGCCATGGACCCTGTAATGCCCACACCGCTCCAGTCTCCTACTGGTCCCGCGCTGTGACACAATTGGAGTGTTTTTGCTTAAGACTGTGTATGAGTTCAGTCGATCCAAACCATGTCATCCTTTGGTGACGTAGCATTTGGCTGTGAGGATTTCATGCCCTCTTTGATTCGGTCTTCTCTGGAGTCCAACGTGAAGGAGCAGAAGCAGCAGGTTTGAGATGGCGTATACCGTCAGCACACATAACACCTCTTACTGCAAAGCCGGAAGCATGGGGGGTTGGGTGTGTTAGATTCCTGTACCGGTCATTACCAGTGTCTCATGGTGTGAACACCGTGATGGGGAGTAAGCAACAGAGATGGAAAGAGAAGCTATTATAACCTGGAGAGAGGGACACATTAGAGTCACTGGAGGAGCTAGACCCGGGGAAAGGGCGGAGGAAAGATGTATGAGAATAAAGAGGAAGAGAGGAAAAGGATGACCAGATGGTAGACATAGTCAATTGAAAAGAAAGGGAGCTTTCTGACGCTGAGGAAGTTCAAGAGTTAGGGAAAGATGGTAATAATAATAATCGGAAGCAGGAGTGAGGTGGTCAGGAAGATCCAGTTAAATAACTATAAGTGGAAAGGGCCTCTGGGCATGCATGGTCTAGCCTTGTCTCTATGGCTAAAGGAAGAGAGGTATGGGAGGAAACAGGAAAGAAACGGGACCCTTTGTGTCTGGGCCTTTGCTTCTAGGGGATTGGGCTATGATCTGTGTGGTCCTTTCCAAAGCTAATCATGTATGGATGTATAAGCCATGTACATTTATATGGGATCCCTTATTTGGTTATGAGAATTCATTTTGGGCCATACAACTTCCGTGAAAGCCCCTTTGCGCTAGACAGACGATGTGGTTGTGTTTGAAGTTTGCAGGATCATAATGCCCTTCAGAGTTCTAAGTAGCTTGTATAGTAGGATCATGTTTCTAAACACTGGCCAGCTCCTGGAGGGGTGTCCCCAGGCTGGTGAGCTAGAACCAGGTCCTAGGGCGCTGTGGCGTTCCCTTAGGGGATTCTTCAGGGTGCTCACTGTTAAACTCCAGGATGTCTGTTTCTTTAGTGTCCAAGTTTTCCATTAAGAACAGGACGTCAGGAGAGACCCTAGAACCAGCCCCAGGATGGGTTACGCTGGTCTCTGAGGATGTTTCTGTGTCAAGTAAGAGGGCAGGCCTGGGGGTCATAGGATCTGGACCTAAGTTTCCCAGGGAGGTGTGCCTGGAGTCCCGTAACTCTGGAAGGCTCCACCTTTGTGGGAATCTGTCATCATCCAGATCTTCCTCAAACTTGAACAAGTCTCTTTCGGTACTGGTTGAAACAGTCTGGGGATTGGGGTCCCCAGGTGGTGTCGCCTTCCCTGAGGGGTCTACCTGCCGTTTAGTCCTGCTTGGCTGTACCCCAGTGAACTCGAGGCTCAAGATGGAGGTAGCAGAGTCTTGGTGATGGCTGTCTGACGAGGACCCGGGGGCTTCAGCCGCTGTGATCAGGACCTCAGGGACCTGGGGCATTTTGGTAGGGGAGGCCCTCACACTGGACTGCGGGGTCAGGCTCTGCAAAGTGCTGGTGCGGCTGGTCTCCCTGATGGTGGACAGTTCTCCCATGCTGGAATGCAGCTTAGGGCTGCCCTCTCGGGATTGGGGTTGCTTCCGGGTGGGTGAGGCTCGCTGGGGATTTCTGGAGGGCACATCCAGCAGATCCCGAGCTGGGCTCGGGGGGAAGAACATGGAGCTGTCGCTGGCCTGCCTGCCGAAAGTCCTCCTCCTGGGGCTGCCGGGGTGCTCGTGGGTACTCAGGAAGCGCTTGACCCTCCTCATCACCGAGTGCCGGTGGCCCTGCTTCTCATAGTTCCACAGCCAGTCCTCCGCGGGGAACTCGGACCCGGACAGCCTGCAGCACAGGACAAAAGAGACAGAGCAGCTGTGGGACTAACTTGTGGGTGGGTCTCAGAGTGAAGGGGCGGGTCACGGCAACTGCTATTAACGCGTCCAAAATGATAACGGAGGAATGTAAAAGGCAGGAATGTATGCGCATGCATGTTCCATTGAGGACGAAGTGATGACATCATCGTATATCTAGTAGCCTCTAGGAAATTCCACTGAAGAGAAGGTCTCTCCGCCCCCCCCCCCCCCATCTCTGGGAGCTACATTCCAAGATCTCCAGTGGATTCCCAGATAGTGCCAGAGCATAGGTGGTAATGCCTTTTCCATCTTAGCTAAACATGTACTACACACGTGGCTATAACTTTATTTCTTTAGAGACAGTCTCATGTATTCCAGGCTTGCCTCAAACTCGCAGTATTGCCTAAGGATGATTTGAACTTCTGATCCTTTTATCTCCGCTGTCCATTTCAGGGTCACAGGCATGTGCCACCATGCTTGGCTCTGCGGCTGTAACTTGTTTTAAAATTGATTTTATTACTGCTATGTGTCTCTCTGTGTGGTGCCTGCGTGTGAGTGTGCCATGTGCTTGGAGAATGACCCCTGGTGAGGAGTCAGTTCTCTCCCTCTCCTGTGGAGCCCAGGGATCCAACTCAGGTCATCAGGCTTGTGTGCCAAGTGTTTTTACCTGCCGAGCCATCTCGCCCATCCAGCCAGGCTTTTTGCAGCCTCAAGCGTGACAGCGAGACCAGCGTGGGTTATTTTTCCGTTCTTAACAATATCATGAGTAGAAGATTCATTCTTGTCTGCATTAATAAACTTGGTATATTTTTTTCATTAATCAAAAGCTTTCATTTTTTTCACTCAAGGGACACATTTTACACCTTCTCTTAGATATAGCCAAATACTGCCAACATCACTGCTCTTGTGTGTTAGGCAGATTAATAAGTTAAGGTATCCTTGAACACAGGCATTGGGATGCCGTGCCCGTTGGTCTGATGACGGAGCTGGCTAGTAAGTGAGGCGCAGGTAGGGCACGCACTATAGGTAGACGGACTGGACAAAGGGCTGGTTCACAGCCCAGGCGAGATCTAGCATGATGGCTCAGGATATCCTCGCACTGTTCAGAGCGGCATGCAATTTAAAGTCTGTGAATTGTTTGTTTCTGCAACCTCCCGTTTCCTATTTTTGGACGATGGTTGACTCTGTGTAACTGCAGTTTGTGGAAGTAAAATAGTAGATCAGAGGGGCTTCTCGTACACTTAGAAAAGAATGAAAGTGAGAGAATACCACCCCAAAATAGTTTCATCCATACGGATTCCCTCCCAGAGTGTTGGTGACCTTCAGGGGGTTCCCAGATCACACTCTGAAGATTACTGATCTAGAAACTTGAATGTTAGGATACACTGCACCAAACGTTGTGTTCTTTTGTTTTCATTAGAGTTGAAGGAAAGACGGATGTCCCCGGGACCCATCATTCCCCTCCCTCTAGAAAAAATAATGGGACATAGCTAAACTCAAGAGGCTGGAAGGACGGGTGAGGTGGGCTCAGTGAACAGAGTGTTTGCTGCGGAAGCCCGGCAACGTGGCTGTGACCCCAAGAACCTGAGCAAAGGTGAAAGAGAAAACAGACGCTACAAAGTTGCCTTCTGACCTCCAGACTTGTGCCGCTGCATATGCGCCTTGGGGTGTCCCCCTCCCCCACTAAATGCAAAAGAGAGAGGGGGCACACACGCACACACACACACACACACACACACACACACACACACACACACACACAAAACAGCTACTGCTCATTTAGCTATGCAAAAGAGGGGGGACACACAAAAAACAGCTAATGCTCATTTCACTATCACGATAATCATATCAGTTCATGTTGCTACTGTTACCAACACTTCACAGACAGGTTCTCCAGGTCCGGGAGATTCATTACGCCTGACTAGCTAGTGAGGCCTGCCACCCGGGTATCAAAGGACACACTAGAGCCCGGAACAGGATCGTGAGTAACACGCAGACCTCAGAAGGAACTGAGACATGTCTGGGAAAAGCTTGACATTTCTGCTACTCAGGTAGGGCTGAGGGAGGAGAGGTCAGCACATCACGGGAAGGAGATGTGGAGGTGAGGCGGGCTCTCTCTGTGGCTGGGGTCTCCCCGGGAGAAGGATTTGCCATGGCTAAGGATTTCCCACTGAAATGCTGACATTTAAGAAGCAGGACAATGAATCTACTCTTTTTAACCTCCTGCAAGGCTTAAATAAAACGAGCCCACGAGGCAATGAACGAAGCCCATGTGGCCGTGAGGTCTACTCCTGCCTCAGGTTCCAGGGTTGTCCCACATCTCTGTCAACGTCAGCCTTCATGGGGGTTCGAAGAGCACCTCAAACATTTGCCCTGAAATGCCAGTTGCTCATGTTGGCTTAGGGAGCAACCGTTCCCTCCTGTGCCAGTCCAGGGTGGGCAATGACATCCATGGTGACAAGATGTCTCATGCCAGGTGCGTTTTCCATGACAGAGAGGAAAAGGCTGGTAGAATGCAGGCGGGACCCGACCAGTGCAAAGTGAACTGCCGAAGACGACGTGTCCCTGTGTTTATGAATAAAAGATGGATGAAATGATCACCTAGCTAAATGTCCCGGGATGGTGCTCGATTACAACCTCACGCTGTTATTCCAAAGCCCCAGCAATGTCCTTGGCTACCAGAGAGTCTCCTGACCCTCCCTCCAGAGCCGGTGCGGATCCTGTTACGTGGCCTTGGGAGATGCAGACTCATGCTTCGGTGGCCCCAGTGACCCTGCTCATTGGGTTTCATTAGGTCAGCTCGCAGGACCTAATTAGTCACACTTCACAGCCATCTACTTAGCTGGGGAGGACACAGGGAAGCGAGGAGCATGGTTGCTCACTGAGACTGCCACACTGGAGGTGCTGGGGACATGAGGTCAAGCTGGCACTTTCTCTTTATAGGACAGGCACATGCCCTCTACTTGGGACGTTGACTATTTATTTCGGGTTATTTCCCTTAACTGCATCTAAGGTTGTTTTCCTACCTGGTAAGAGGGACACGGTCTTCTAGGGGGAAAAAAGCCATGTGTATTAATATTATTTTAAAACTTTGTGGAAAAAGCAAACAAAACAAGACCAACTGGGCCAGCAAGATGGCTCGGTGGATAAAGACGTTTGCTGCCTGTCTGGAGGACCTGGGTTCTGGAACCCACATGGTAGGAGAGGGCAGGTATTGGTAACTTATCCTCTGACTTCCATATATACATAAAGGCCTGTGTATGCTCAACACACACACACACACACACACACACACACACACACACACACACACACACAGGCAAACACACACAAACATACACACATACACACACACCACACACACACACACACACACACACACACACACACACACACACCAAATAAGTGCAAAAAAGGAAAAAAGCTCTGACTGTGCACTAGTGTAGTGGTGACGTGTACTCACCTACGCCAAGCACAATAAGCCCCTGAGTCAGACTGGAGAAAGTGAAACCAGCCATGAGCAGATCGGGAAAAGCTCAGCTAACTGACCCATGCTGGGGAGGCCTGCCAAGGAGACCCCTTTGGCCTTTCCTGCCTCATAAGACTGCGGTGTGGACACACGAGATTCAGCTGCTAAATTTACCAAGCCTCTACTGCGAATGATTTGCTATATCATATACATTATTACTTACTATTTTAAAGGAGGGAGAAGGTATGCATATAAATAGCTACATTTGAAATCAAGTTTCTGTGCTGGCAAGTTTTCTGCAAAGAGTTAGAACTACCGTGATGAAGCAGGGATGGAACATTCCATGCCAAAGCAGTGACTCCCAAATAAGCTAGCGGGAATTAGCGTGCGTTTGAGTTGGTGTGAAATGGGATGGTGTTGGTCATGGCTGGGACGACAGTCTTGGGTTATGTTGTGAGGGTCTGGACTTTGTCCTCCAGGCTGAAATTGTGTGGTTTGGGTCTTGCCTGCATGGGAAAGGCATGTGAACAGCAATGTTGATGAATGCATACGGTAGGAAACATGCCTTGGAAACGTCCCACACTTCCAGCCTGAAGCTGGACCTTTGGAAGGACACTGGGGGTGTCACGTATTTCGTGATGATGTAATGAGAGGTGTCCTCAAGGTCTTTGGGCCAGGACAGAGCGGAGCACAGCTCTCTAGTATTATGGAATGAATAACCTTTCTTTTGAGTGCTGGCATCAAAGATGGTTGCTGAACCGGAAGCCTGCCCTCCTTTCTCTTTACAGTCGTGGTTTTCCATGTTCTCGTTTCTGGTATGTAGAGACTCAGTTTAAGAACAGAATGCCCTGAAGATGAAAGCGTGTGTCATACAACGAGACAAAGTCCCATGTACTTTAGGCCGCCCTTCATCTCACTACGGAGAGACGTCAAACTGAACCTCTGCCTCCACCTCCCTAGTACCGGGGTTATACCACCATACCTGGTGGGTGACGAGCTGGGGATCGAACACACCTGCACTCTTATTTAATTTTTAAAGTGTATTTTTAGTCCACGCCAGAGGCGTAGATGTAACAGCACTTAAACAATCATAGCCGGGGCATTACAGGACAGGACAGGAGCACTCTCATTATATTACCTCGTGCTAGGGATGGCCAGCTGAAACAGTTTGTGTTTCAGAACTCATTTGGACCGAGACAGATGAGTAATTAGAGGCAGGAGGACACTGACAGAAGGGGCCACGGAACCACTAGTTCCAACAGTGGGACAGGTGACTCACTCTGAGCACTTGACAGGTTGCTGCTGCCCAGGCTGACACCAGCTGTGCGACGTTGGCAGACTCCTATGACTCTCTGGGACTTAGCATCACACGCAGTAAAAGCCATAGGGGTGACACTTGCCCTGCCTTCCATGTGGCTTGGGAGATGAAAAGGGGGGGGGGGGCACGTGTCGGAGAGCTTTGAAGCACGGGAGCCCTGGAAAGGATTCTGCCGATCACTGGCAACTCTCCGAAGCAGTCCCCAGGGGCCTGAGCAAGTGATAACGCTTGCTTGCCCGAAAGCCCTTTTTCTCCTTTGAAAGAGTTCTCTAAAAACTGTCACGGCAGCTGGGAGCCTCCCCAGACAGTTGAAAAGCTTAGATAGGATGACTTAGCAGCTATTCAACAGTAAGGCCAGGGCCCTGGGTGTGTGTGTGTGGAGAGGATGGACAAGGGCTGGCAGGGGCTGGGAAATTCAGCGGTGGGAAGCCAGGGCTGACGACACGACCGGAGTTCTGGATGGAGACGGCATTGCTCTGCCCTGGCCTTTCAGTAGTTCTTCTGTGCCATTTGTTAGACACTGCTAACTCTGTAAGTCACCCATACACCAATACAGAACACATGGGGATGAGAAGGGTTTACAGTCTGCTTTTGAAAGAGAGAGGAAGGGTAGGAGCGGAAGCATGCAGCAGGGCGGAGGGATGTCTCAGTTGGAGCTATTTTCATATCCAATGTTGAAAAAATAATAACCAAACCCAGCATTTCCAAGCATCTGTTGAACACCCACAAGACCGTCAGCCCCAGAGCTAAGGGTGTGAGCAGTGGGGACTGTTAAGAAGCCCGCGCAGGGTGCAGAACAATCTTCATCCTCTCCGTTACTATAACAAGGGAGAGGCAAGAGCCTGGCTTCCAAAGACCACAGCACAGTGCTTCCTTCTTAGGGCATATCTGATATATGAAGACCAACATAGCCTTGGCAAATGACTTGGAAGACAATGTGTTTGTTTGTTGATTGGTTGGTTGGTTGGTTGGTTGGTTGGTTTTTCAAAGCTACTCTGTCCTAATGTGTAATGATGTAATTGATTACAGAGCTTCGGGAAGATGGAAGGCAAGCCCCACCATGCTGGCCATTCTTTGTTCCACTTTTGAAGTGGTGTTTTGGCGATTTAAATTCAAATAATAAAAAGTCATCTTAACATAACTGAAATGAGGCGCTTAGGAGAATGATACTTAATACGGTGAGTTCTATTTTTTCCATGTCAACTTTATTGTTTTAAAATTGGAGTGCTCTCAAGGTTGGGTGTCTACACTGGCTAGCGCTGGTGATTTGCCTGAGAACCTATCAGGGCAGAGGCATGTGCGGAGGAGCAGTTAGACACGGGCCCCAGAGGTACTGGACCCATTAGAATAGAACACTCTTATTTTTCACCTTGCTCATGGCGGAATGACAGCCAAAGCTGCAACCACAAATTCACAAATGGACAAGTAACTCTCACTCTGAGCTGGGAGGCCAGGGGCTAAGGATTATGAGGAAATTTCAATGACCAGAATATTATGACCACCCAGACTTCCCTCTGCTCCATTCTGGCAAGCAGTTCCTAGGAGTAGAGCATCTTGCGAGGCATTTAGGTTGGAACCTGCACTCGATCCTTGACCTTCCCACCATCTCCTTGTGGCCAATTTGAGAGTTCAGGCCAAGAGTTATGACAAATTTGGTCTACCACACCTTTCCCGAGGCATATCTAATTTCACCCTACTGCCTACATTACAGCCAAGCCCTCTTCCTGAACACTACTGTATCCTGGAGATGTTCTCTTGGAAAAGATAATTAAGACACGCACACCTCTGGTACCATTTAAAGGTAAGAACTGAGCAGCAAGGTGACCCCATGTTGGCAGACCGAGAATCCCCATCTCTAAAATGATGAACTTAATGCACATTCATCTTCTACTTCTTGCCTCTCCTTCCTTTCTGGTACATTAAGGGAAAGAAAAATCAATGTGCCAAGAGTACATTTTTGTAGAAGTTAGTGATTTAGAACTTGAGCTATTTTTAGTGGTTTATAACACGAGCCTGCGATTGTATAAACCAGACTATGTATTTTCTTATAAAGCTAAAATAAACTATTTGAACATAGTTGGCTAAGTAAGACATGATTACTGAAAACACCAGTCTGGAAATACATTTGATGAACTTTAGTAAGATCTTTGCTCGCTACAATATTTATTTTCCTGTATCTGAGCCAGTGTTCTCTACTGCACTATCTTGGATGTTTTGTATACATTTGGTGTGTGCTTGTATAATTAGAAAATGGGGATTATGGTATGGTAAACATGCTTAGAAGTTCTGGCATACAGACAGATAAGTAAGAGTCATCTTTTTCAACACAGTGGGTTAGTTTCCCGGTACCAAATAAATCTTAAATTCTTCCATTTCTAACTAGAAGGAATTCTTAGCATACTAGGCAATTTCTCCTCTCTACTAAATGGATCCGTTTGCCACATAGATCCTTCTAGATTACTGCAAATGTGAGGAGGAGGGGCATATTCTTTAACCTCAGAAAAATTCAATAAGATAATCCTCTTTAAATGGGAGTAGCGAGCAGTCTGCAGGCAGGCGCTTGAGCATGCCTGCGCCAGCTGCACAGAGAGCATGCACGGCTAGCACACTCGTGTCCTCCAGTCCACGAGCAGACACAGCCCCTCTTCTCCAGCCTGCGATCCTCTCTCTAACTGTTACAGTGGACAGCTTGTTGGTGTCCTTCTAAAGCGCTCCAGGGACGACTGCTCCCTTTCTGTTGGCTGTTTTGATTTTCGTGACGGGATTAAAGGGATTTATGAGACTTCAGGTCTTTAATTTCCATAGACTGAATTCCTCATCGTCTCCAACATGGGTAATGTCAAGTAAAGAAAAATGGATTGCTGGAGTGACCCAGGATGCTATCACATGAAGATAAAAGCATTCTCCTTCTACTTTGTAGTAGCAGATAACTTTGGATGTTGTTGTCTTTTAAACCATGCATATATATATCATATCTATAATATATACATATATATGTGTGTACATACATAAATATACACATATGTACACACATATAAATGATATGTGTAAAACACAATACTGCTTGTATTTAAACACTTACACTAGTGGTATATCTTGTTTTAGTAAACTTAGTTCTATAAGTGCTATTTTCTCATTAGTTAATTGGTTAACTGATTGATTTTTTGAGACTGGGTGAATCTGAGGAGTCACTCTGTAGCCAGACTGGCCTTAACTTCTCACATGCTGGGATTACAGGCCTGGTGTATAAGTGTTTATTATTGTGCGACCAAGACCAATTTTCATTTTACGTCTTGGGTATGTTTCCATGTGAATTCTGTGGACAGGTCCTCTTTTGTGGGTTTCAGAAGTTTTCTTAGTCTTGGTTAACAGTTTCTTCATTGTTAAATGGATAAAAAGACACCTCTTAACAGTCGTCACAAAGAGTTTCATATCACGACAAAAGAGCAAACTAAAGATGTCCCTGAAGTGATCTCGGGTACGATAATGGGAAGGATTCAAACACGGAAGATGACCTTTTCATCGTTCGGTTAGTTCACAGGGTAGGGCTTGTCAAATGGAGATTGATGATGATGCAGTAATTATTACTAATTATTAAATCTCAAGGCCAGTGTATTTATAGCACTGTTTCTAATTTGGGTGCTCCACTCAGATTTTGTATATGTGTGTGTGTGCACTTGTGTGTGTAAGTGTTCACGAACATATGCCGCAGCACGCATGTGGAGGTCAGAGGACCGTCTTAAGTGTTGGTCCTCACCTTCCACTTCTCACTACTGTGTACACCAGGCCAGCCGGCTCTCAAGCTTCCGTCTTGCCGTAGGAACATTGGGATTACAGGTGTGTACTACTGTGTCTGTCTTTACATGGGTGCTGGGGATTTGAATTCAGAACCTTACGCTTGCATGGCAAGTGCTTTAGCGAGCAAGAGGCTGGGGTCAGGACCCTGGTGGCCTGGGAGGATGGGAGGGTCCAGTCTTGGAAGCAAGCCTGTCTTACTGTGGGCAACCTTCTCTAAGCTGAGCTTGGTGGGCACCTACATGGGTCTCCTGGTGCCTGAGTGTCTCTCATCATTTACCACAGCTCCTGAAATGCCACTTTCAGCCATCCCTTGCTTTGGCTCTCGAAGGACTTTTAGCTTCAGAGGCCCCTTTGGCAGAAGGGTGCCACAAACCATTACTCATGAGGATTTGGAGATGTCTGACCAAGAGCAAAGCTGTACAGGAACAGGATAGAGGCCAGACATGTGCGTGCGGGGAGTCAGGAGCCAGAATGCTGCTGGACAGAGGACAGGGCATACCAGAAACAATGGGGCATGCACCTGCCTCAAAACCACGAGACCTGTACAAGATAAAGCCAGCCTGAATTCCAGCACAAAGCGGTGTGTGTGTGTGTGTGTGTGTGTGTGTGTGTGTGTGTGTGTGTGTGTGCATCTAAGGCCCTACCCCTTACTGTAGAGCTGGGGGAGGGAGAATCATTCTTTTTGGAGGATGTGACTGCTGATAGGTTTCTCATGTTCTAGCATACACATTGGCAGCATTAATAAGACACTTTGAAGGGAAGAAGAGGAGGAGCAGGAGGAGAAGAAAGCAAAAGAAAATAATAATGAGGATGGGAGACAGATGTTTTTAGGGGGGATACTGGGGATGTTGGAGAGGAAAATGGAGGGTGGATTTGATCATATTTCATTGTATATATGTGTGGAACTCAGCTGAGAGATGGCCCCACGATCATTCATATCTGTGCCAGAAATGTGTGTGTGGATAAAGGTACTTGCTACCTAAGCCTGATGACCTGAGTGATCCTGAGAACCCATACAGAGGTGGATTGAGAGAACAGATGCTACAGAGTTGACCTCTGACCTCCACGTGCCCAACATGGCTCAGGCCTCCTCGATCATGTCCTCATGCATACATACATACACGCGATACATTTTTAAACGTTCTCCTAAGTATCAAAGGTTTTTAAAAACTCGCTTACCCCATTTGGATCGTTGAGCCCAGAAACGAGGGTATGCAGTAGTCAGCAGCTGCCAGGGTGTACGGTGGCCGCGCGGCAGAATCATCCCAGTAAATGTCCTTCTTCATCTTGGGTAAGCTCATGTGCATTTCATCCACAGCTAAAAGAGAGACCTAAAACCGTCGTCATATTGTTAGACCCGCTTAGATGGGAGGGGTTTCCCACAGGTGGAAGGGAGCTGGAGAATAGGACACTGTCTGAGTGAAAATACGAAGGCCCAGAGACAGACTGGCTGCCATGAGGCCGCTGCAGGAACTCCTACGTGTTCTTTTCTGCTCACAAACTCGGGGCCATGGTGTAAGTGGAGGCGTGGAGCTGTCCGCTCTCTGGGCAGGTCCTGTTTCACCCTCTGTCCACATGCTCCGGCATGGAGCTTCGTGTCATCTGCAAAGTTCCTTTCTCTTCTTTTCTCAGGTACAGTACTGTCTTGGTGGCTTCCTGACAGGCGCCATTCAATGCCAGATAGTACAGAGAGGTGAACGTTCTCAGCCCTTCCTTCTACAACCCACAGACACACCTCTGTCTTCCACCACTTCTTGTGTGCCCCACCTTTCCTTCTTTCTTTTTCTTTCTTTCTTTCTTTCTTTCTTTCTTTCTTTCTTTCTTTCTTTCTTTCTTTCTTTCTTTCTTTCTTTCTTTCTTTCTTCCTTCCTTCCTTCCTTCCTTCCTTCCTTCCTTCCTTCCTTCCTTCCTTCCTTCCTTCCTGTCTCTCTCTCTGTGTCTCTGAGTCTGTCTGTCTGTCTGTCTGTCTCTCTCTCTCCTTCCTTCCTCCTTTCAAATAAGGTCTCAGCATGTATCTCAGGCCACTCTCGAACTTGTAATTCTCCTTTCCCAACCCTACCGAGTGCTGAAATTACAGACCTATGCCACCAGGCCTGTCTACATTTGTGTGTTTGGAGAAGTAGTGTATCACCGGACCTGCATGACGGTGGCGACCTCTCCGTCTTGGCTTAGGCAGAGTGACAAATAAACCATTAAGCCTCTGGGAATCCAGTTCTGACACACAGGGAGAAACATTACGCTTCTTCCCCGACAGACTGGCAGGGCTTCAAACAGACGGACGGACGGGGTAAAGGCCCTCAGATGCAGGTTCTGAGGGGAGCCCTGCCTAGAAAGAGAGTTCCCTCATGCCTTTATGAGCAGCTTGCAGGAACAGCGCTACGTTGGGGTAAGGGCATCCTCTCATGGCTGCAGACGTGAGAACGAAGCCAGTGTGGCCTCCGCTCCCACCCCGCATGCACAACTGATCACTGGGGCCTGGTGGACTATGTTCAGGAATTCACAGAGATTATGCCTGGATGCCATTGTATGTCACTGTCGTCTCTGGATGACAAATCAAAGTAGCTGAGAAAAACCGATTAAAATATTGCTCCGTACTGGACAGAAGAAGACAGACAACACAAGCAAAACTCACAGAGAAAAATCAACTTAACGGTGCCGGAAATGCGATCCAGGACATCTTAGGTTCCAGAAGGAATGATGCAGGGAATGGTCAGGCTTTTTTCACGTTTGACTAAAGATCTCAAGTCCGGGAACCCGCATCCAGGATCTATTTACCCGTGATGTATCGTTATTGTTCCCAAAGGACAGAAAAGTTCCTCTAACCTGCAGGTTTCTGTCGATGCACCAGTTTGTTTCAAAATCGTCATCGTCTTCTCCAAAAGGGTTGATCAGCTGCTCGGCAACCTGCGGTTGGGAACACGGGATAAATGGAGGCAGCGCGTGTGAAGACCGAGAAGGAAATGGAGGGTGACCCCTGCCTTAGTCATCCCTTTCCCTGTAATATGCAGCCTCCAGGGCGGGAGGGTGGTCTACAGATGTTGATCTCCAAGCGAGCCCCTTCGTGGGCACGCTCTGCAAACGGACCTGTCTGTCTAGACAGCAATGCCCTCCTCCCCCAGGGCTCCCCCAGGAGCCCGGTGGAGCCAAAGCGAACCCGTGAATATGGAAGGGCCGTTAACGATGTGCAAGGCACTTACTTTCTCTGATCTTTCAAGCAGTCTGTAAGGGCCCAGTTGATAACATGACGTTAAACGGCAATGAAACATGAATCGCAATAAAAGGTGATTATGAGTCACAAACAGTTACGAGACAAAAAACAGGTATGAGACATAAATGCTGAGTGATTGCACCCGAGAGCTAGAAACAGGCTGGACCCGGAGGCTTGTCTAGTTTTATGTGAAAGATTTACTCTCATCTACTAAGTTCTAGTTTTCCTGTGAGTCGTTTAGCTGGTTTCTGAACATATATCATCTAACATTTGGTCTATATTAAATATTCTTACCATGTTTCTGAATGGAATAGCTTTTTAAACGAGAGCCTTAGATGTCAAATGTAACCTCTTTGAACCATTTTCTTTGATTTTTTTAAACTTGTGAATATGTGTGTGTGTGTGTGTGTGTGTGTGTGTGTGTGTGTGTGTGTGTAGGGGGGTAGGTATTACATTGGTTCCAGATGGGAAGAAAACTTTTAAGTGAACAAAATAAAGGTATCGTTTGATTAGTTTCTAGATTCTGAGACCATTTGGTGAAAACTCTGCCCACTTGGGGTTGGGGAGATGACTCAGTAGGTAAGGGTGCTTAGGCTGCAAACACAGGGGGCCTGGGTTCAAATCCCCAGCACCCATGTGAAAAGCCAAGCATGGCTGAGCATGCCTGCTAACACCAGCCACGTAGGGATGGAGATAGATCGACTCTGGGAGTTGTCTGGCCAGCCAGCCTAGTGAAAGAGTAAGCTTCCTGTTGAGTGAAAAAAAAAACCAAAAAAACCTCTGTTTCAAGGCAATAGGAGAAAAAGACAGAGGGGAGAGAGAGAGAGAGAGAGAGAGAGAGAGAGAGAGAGAGAGAGAGAGAGAGAGAGAGAGAGAGGGACTCAACCTTGTCCTCTGGCCTCTACATATGTTCAGACGGGTTTACACCCCTGCACACTCACATGCATATACAAACACACACACACACAACACACAACACAAATACACAGAGTCACATGGAATTAAAAAAAAATAAGGAAATTTTACCCTCTTGGCCTTCAGTATTTAAGTTAAACCACTTAGCTGCTGTTCCCAACCTCCACTGTGCGTGGGACTCACTCCCGGAAGTTCAACAGAACAAAACTAAGCAAGCCAAACAAAACCCACCCCCAGCAAACAGATACCTGGGTCCCTCCTCTAGACACTGATTTACTCAGTGAGGCTGAGTCCAGGCAGCCACAGGAGAGCTTAGCGCATGGCCAGGGTGGAGAACCAGAGCCCTGCAGTGGGGAAAGCCTGAGTCTAGAAGCCTCTGCCTTAGTAAACCTCCTTGCAATAGCTGTGGAAATCCTTCGCTGTGTGGTAAAGGGCTGTCTTCCTCTTCTTCCCTGAGGTTTTGCTTAAATGAAATAGGCCATCATTTCAACCCTGAAAATATTTTTGTTATGTTCGTATTTTTCACATTTATAGCATCCGTCTTGTATATCTTATTGTAGTCTATATTTAGTAGTCACAGTGACACATCTGTGCATTGAGTATGTCACGAAGATGGCTTTACTGGACGGCACCGTTTGCAGAAAGAAAGATCAAGATGTGTTTCCTAGCCGGGCGGTGGTGGCGCATGCTTTTAATCCCAGCACTCGGGAGGCAGAGGCAGGAGGATCTCTGTGAGTTCGAGGCCAGCCTGGGCTACAAAGCAAGTTCCAGGAAAGGCGCAAAGCTACACAGAGAAACCCTGTCTCGAAAAACAAAAAAAACAAACAAACAAACAAAAAAAAAGGTTTTGTTTCCTATACTTTGGATAGAGCAGTTCTTTGCAAATGGAGACACAATTCACTGGTGTGGGACCCGCACTTTTATGACACTGGCTTATCCTTTCCTATTTGGCCTTTTAAAAATAGTTTATAGAGGAAAGGAATTTAGACACTTCACCAGAAAAAAAAAAGGAGCCACTAACCTCTTCCTGGTTCAGCCAAGCACTTGATGTGGACACAAAGCGGACAGACAGTTAAAAAGCTCAGCAGGACAAAGGGGATGGGACAACACAGACCAGAGTGGAACCGAATGACAGGACAGTTGAGCATTTGGCTCAGCTGTGGTGATTTCAGGGTGAAGCAGAGTCCCTCTTCCCTCTAAGAGAAGCCATTCACCTCTCTTGGTCTTTCTCACTCCGAGAAAGTGGGTAAAGATGATTACAAATCACTGTCATCTGGCTAAAAACATTTTTGCCATTTAAAGGACATGCTGTTCGTCATTGGAGTATAGTTTAAAATGCCAAACATATTATGAAGATTCAAACCAACAGAAGAACTAGTGTTTGCAGGGGTATTTGTCCCAACCCCAAGGCCTGACCACTGGTGGCTGTTTGGTGGGCCAAGTATTTGGAAATTCTGTTTTGTTAGTCTCCTTGAACGTATGATTGGATTTCACTTTACTTAAGGAAACTGCCGTTTCTGACTTCTTTCCTGTCGCATACGTCGAGTGATGGAGAATCACGCTTCTGATATTTACACACGTATTACATCTTGGGAGGCTTGGGAGTGCTGGTGGTGGGAACAGACGCAGTTCCACACCCGTGACAGGATGAGCTGTTCTCATGACTCTGACATGCTTTTAGATTCCTGGCGAACTAAATGTCATCGTTAATCCTGATGTTTCTGCTTTTAATCCTGATGAGCTTTTTTTTTTTTTTTTGAAACGGGATGCAATTAACGTGTGGGCCGGCTAGTGGAACTCAGGGGATTGCAAATGATTTATGGAGTGGAGCAGAACCGATCTTCTGCTGCAGTATTAAAGCTCGAATATGCTCTCAAAGGCTGAGGCTATACTGTCATTCCCTCTGCTCAGTTGTGCCTAAAAAACAACACAGGTGCACTTATTATTTTAATTACATTACTTCAGTCCTCATGGGAGCACACAGAGGCTTGCAGAAAAATCAATAGCTGTAAGAGAAATGTTCTCATCTCTTTGCATAATGAAGTACTGCCGTCCAGCCTTTCTACCCATCACTTTCATCTCGATGGAAAAAGCAATCACATCTATGAACTATTAAACATCAAGTCTACCTTTGAGTTATTCATTACAACGGTTTGCCAGAGACTCCATAGAGGATTCACGTGGAGAGTTTGGAACAAGAGGAATTCCAGAGTGCCTTGGGCACCAAGATCATTGACTTACCTTGAGCCATCCTGCGTAGAAGAAGAACTGGAGGAGAGTGAAGATTGGAATGTACAGATCTAAGTCATGCCCCGCGTAGCCTTTGGTGGGATCCAGGAACTGCCTTCCAATCAGGCATGCGAAGAAGAATGTGTAGACGGCAAGAGTGACAACCTGGAGCGGAGAGAAGCCCGAGAGAGAGGGCAGTGCTAGTTGCCCACAGAAACTACAGTGCAAAGTGGGCAGGTGGGAGTAAAAAACACATGCACGGGGCTGGGGCGAAAACTCAGTCCGTAAAGTATGGCAGCACAAGCCCGAGAGACTGAGCACAATTCCAAGCACCCATATAAAATGCCAGGAGTGGCGGCTTGTTCCTGTAACCCCCGTTCTGGGGAAGGGGTGAAGATAGGTAGATCCTGGATCCTGATTGTTCAGCAAGTTTAAATGAAAAATAAAGTGAGGCCGGGTGTTGGTGGCTCACCCCTTTAATCCCAGTACTCGGGAGGCAGAGCCAGGCGGATCTCTGTGAGTTTGAGGCCAGCCTGGTCTACAAAGCGAGATCCAGGACAGACACCAAAACTACACGGAGAAACCCTGTCTCAAAAAAACCAAGAAAATAAAAAAAAATAAATAAATAAAGTGGATGGCTCCAGAGGAGCGGCACCCAATCTGATTGATCTCAGATTCCTATGCTCCTGTCCCTGCCCCCACCGTAATCACATGCACAGTATTTGGTACCTGTGTGTAAACCAGTGGAATGCCAACCCAGTCATAGCCAAACAGGAGGCTGCACCAAGAGCGGTACCGATTCATCTCCTAAGCCCAAAACATAAAATTACACTTTACTAACACGATGGCCACAGCAGTAAACATTAGCTGGGATTCAGAACCCTGGCACACTGTTGATGAATGTGTCAGGAAATGATAAGGCTAACTTTGTAAGTTGGCCTTAAGGCTGCCAGGCAAGTTCTGAGAATGAGAAAGCAAAGGATACCATGGAGCCATTTGTAAAAAGGAAAAAAAAATGATGAGGACATTGGGACATATTTTTATAAATATTAAGAAAAGATGGAATGTTATAAGGATAAACTCGTTTTCCTAACCCACACTCTTCGATGTATAGACTGGCCCCAAGTGCTCATAGGAAGCTAAAATGGTTAATATTTTAAATAAGTAATTACTAGGTATTTTGGTAGAAACATTTGGCAAGCATTTTTTCCCTCTCCTTAAAAACATTCCTACTATAGATATTAGAAAAGACAAATAAATACATGCTAAGCCTTTTGCCCAACAAATTGAGACTTTAAAACTGCTCATATTGATAGAAAATCTATTAAGAGGAAGGATGGAGTCATTGATCTCGTCCCTTATCCATATGAGACTGGAATCTAATATGACCTCAGTTTGAAACCGTTTATTCATTTTAGCCTCATCCAAGCCAGAGACCATCAGGGCTGCCACAGCAGATCACCACTGTATACATTTCTCTCATGAATCCTGAGACCTTTCACTTAGCAAGACGTTGTTTTGTTCCTTACAGCATCTGAACACTGATTTAAGTTTGGACTATTCAAATTTGGGGTGGGGAGAAAAGATTGAGGTTTATTCTTCCTTAGGGTTTTATTCTGGGTGCTGGGGGTTCAGCTCAGTGGAAGATTGTTTGCCTAGCCTGCAAAAGGCACTCTGGGTTTCATCTCATCACTGAAAAACAAACAAACAAACAAAACCTAAGGATTTTATTCTAGAATCCTGAAGCAAGGGGTAGCAAATGCTCATGGGCAACGTGTCTCTTCAACGTCCTTGGCAATTCTGGCTTGAACATTTTCCTACAAGCCTCTCACAGAGCGTGCTGTGCAGACAGCCAGGCTTCCAAGGAAGCTGAGTTCATCTTGCTCACTCTCTGTTCTGCTCACCGTGGGTTTTCACACTGACTTCCTAGCGCCTTGGAGTCTGGAGTGAACAGAGCAGACCTCTTGGTCTGACCTGTTAATATCCAGGGTCCCTTTGAGTTCTAATTTGCATCTTTTTCTCATGGCTTACTAAATACTTACGGTCATCAATGATTGTAGGTCGACGCTGTCCCTGATTCTACCTTCATTCCGGGCTTTCGTGGCAAGATTTCCAAACCAAACGAACGGAACCCAGTATTTCAGATGCGGCGATTTGAGGTGGTCAAATAATTTCCTTTCATCTGTCGTCATAAAACCTTTATACAAGATAACAACAGAGGTGTTATGTACATTTAGACCCCAAAGCATCACCATAATTTTAGTATTCTATGTAAGCATACTGGGGTAGCGGGTGGGGAGTGCTAAAGAAATAAAGATTTTTGTCTCTAGTGGTTTATACTTGTGCTAGAGATGAAGAGTTTTGCACATGAGTGTGTGTGTGCATGTGCATATACAAAGTGCACACGCATTATATATTGCTATGTGAAGTAATGCATCGTCTTGGCAATCTGATAGCAAAGGTAAAATAGGAGACACATGAGCCTGGGGCGTAGATTCTCAAAATGTGATACACAACCTCCTTTGGGGTCACATAGATGAATGTGGGCTGTGGACTATTTGGTAACAGATTTCTGAACATTCAGTAACCAAAACTTAATTCAAAGATCAAACACATAATGAATCTGAAGAGTTGCTGGCCACGCACAGGCATGTTATGTTAAGTGTCTCACTGTGCCTTGGTTTTGAACACGCCACATGTGCACTTTGCATTGAGCAGAACTTGTTGCCGTGCAACACCAACAGATGATGCCTCTGACATCTCGGCTCAGATTCAAGACTGTTGTGTGTTGTGAATCGCAATGCCTTCACTATCCGCATAAAGCATTCTGCATTTACAGAGACATAATGGTTTAATTACAGAAAACAACAGCATTTTCCTATGATCATTCCTCAGCATTTAAGTACCCAGTTAGTATATGTTTGAATTGCTTTACGTTAGAGTGTTTGATTTTAAAATCGCCATTTGAACTGTTGACTCGTTTCATTTTAAAAATGTTAAATGAATTTGCCTTCGGATTAGGACAGCATTTCCACAATGGTTTCCACATTTCTGAAATGGCCCTAAACATGCTTCTGCTGTTTTTTTTTTTTTTTTTTTTTTTGGTTTTTCGAGACAGGGTTTCTCTGTGTAGCTTTGCGCCTTTCCTGGAACTCACTTGGTAGCCCAGGCTGGCCTCGAACTCACAGAGATCCGCCGGCCTCTGCCTCCCGAGTGCTGGGATTAAAGGCGTGCGCCACCACCGCCCGGCAGCTTCTGCTGTTTTATGCTATGTATTTATTGGAAGTGTCATTCTTTTTTATTTATTTATTTATTTATTTTATTTATTTTTTTTCTTGCGTTGTCATTCTTATTGATGGCTATAAAATCAGAATACCAATAACTCTGAAAAGGGCAAAGATTTCATGCACTATCAAATATTTGGCCAATAATTAATTATGCATATGAAAATAAATAAGCATATCATCTCATGTATATGCAATTTTACTTTCTTTCTTTAAAAAAAAAGAATTTTACTTTATGAGTATGTTATCTGTGGGTATATGCATGTGTATATGTGAGTTTGCATGGTGGCCAGAAAGGGGCATTAGAACCCTCAGAAGTAGTTACAAGTTTTTGTGAGCCACCTTGCGTGGGTACTAGGATCTCAACTCTGATACACAGCAGCAAGGTGCTCTTTTTTTTTTTTTTTTTTTTTTTTTGGTTTTGCAAGACAGGGTTTCTCTGTGTAGCTTTGCGCCTTTCTTGGAACTCACTCTGTAGTCCAGGCTGGCCTCGAACTCACAGAGATCTGCCTGGCTCTGCCTCCCGAGTGCTGGGATTAAAGGCGCGTGTCACCACTGCCTGGCAAAACTCTTTTTTTTTTTTTTTTTTTTTAATTTTCCAGAGCTGAGGACCGAACCCAGGGTCTTGTGCTTGCTAGGCAAGCACTCTACCACTGAGCTAAATCCCCAACCCCTGCAACGTGCTCTTAACGACTGAACCATCTCTCTAACTTCCACCACCTTTTTTTTTTTTTTTTGAGACAGGGTCTCGTGTAGCCCAAGTTGACCTCAACCTCACTATGTAGCTGATCCTGTGCCTCTATGTCCCACATACGGTATTACAGGCAGGTGCCACGGTGGTGCTGAGGCTGAGGTTCAAACCCAGGGCTTTGTGCATGTTAGGCAGGAAGTCCAACTGAGCCATAGCTTTGGCTTGCTTTCACTTATAGAATTATTTCGTTCATTTTTAATAACCAGTCAAATTATATGTACATCAAAGTAGTGCCTTAAAATAAATTTCTATTATAAGAGTTTTGAAATTAGATTTATTCAGCCCGGTGGTTGCTCATGCCTTTAATCCCAGCATTCAGGAGGCAGTGCCAGGCGGATCTCTGTGAGTTCGAGGCCAGCCTGGGCTACCGAGTGAGTTCCAGGAAAGGCGCAAAGCTACACAGAGAAACCCTGTCTCGAAAAAAAAAAAAAAATTAGATTTATTCACATGTGTATGTGTGTCAATGCCACAGCGTGCGTGTGGGACTTAGAGAGCAGCTTCCAGGAGTTAACTTTCACCTTCCACAGATCCTGGGGATAGAGCTCAGGTTGCCAGGCTTGGCGAAGTATTTACCTGCTGAGCCATCTTGCTAGCCCAAGAAAATTTCTTGACAATTTATTATCAGTCACTGTTTGGTTTTATACATATTTCATATCGCCATATGCCTAAGTGTTCATATATATATTTCTCCTGTAAAAGGGGGCTAGTGAGCCGAAAGAGTTTAAGAGCCCTGATCCAGGGGGCTGGAGAGATGGCTCAGAGGTTAAGAACACTGGCTGTTCTTCCAGAGGTCCTGAGTTCAATTCCCAGCACCCATATGGTGGCTCACAACCATCTGTAATGAGATCTCGTGCCCTCCTCTGGCCTGCAGGGACACATGCAAACAGAACACTGTATACATAATAAATAATTAAATCTTAAAAAAAAAAAGAGCCCTGATCTAGAATATCTAGGGAAATTTCTCCTTTACATTTTGATTTATTAATCTAAGATTTGGCACAATAACACTTAGAGTTGTAAGGGTTAAGAGACTAAAATTCGGGAGTGTATAACAGAGCTTGGAGCAAGGAGTTGCGCGTGATTCCCAAGGCTGTTCCTCCCGCCTCATCCTGTCGGCATCCTGCTTGATCACATCCCCTTTCTGCGAAGCCATCTCTCATTCCTTCCTTCGTCCACCCAGGGATTTCTCTAATTTAAATCTTCCGAGTGGTGCTCAGTCTTGACTTGTAGTATAGCGATATTGTACATAATGAAAGGCAAGGACGACATTGGTCTTTTTTAGTCCCCACAGTATTTTGCACAAATTTTCAAAATGTTGTGTGCATAAAATGCAATTAGCTTGAGTTTCCAGAGACCTCCCTGAGCCTCGGGGTCTTCCTCGGTAACGATATCTGCTTTACCGCGATGATACTGGGGATAGAGCTCCGTGGTAGAGCGCACGTCTATCATGCTGGAAGCCGGCACCACACATCAGAAAGGCACGCCCCGCCCGTGGTGGGTGGAGGAGCCGGGAGGTGTTACCTGGGATGCTAAACATACCTGAAGAGTTGAAGAGTTGAGCATACTTAGTGCTAAGGAACAATGTATCTTTGACACTTTATCTGGGCTCCTCCTTCATTCCCTCTCTTCCCACACACGGGGAAGCAGAGGAACAAGGTAGCAGGTTTATTTAATAACAAAACCTTGAAAGAGGATTTATTTTTACTACTTTTAATTACGCGTGTGCTTGCACACAGGCGTGGGTGCCCTCAGAAGCCAGAGGCATCAGACGGGGTGCTGAGGACTGAACTGCGGTCCTCTGCAAGAAGAATGTATGCTCTCAAACGCTGAGCCATCTCTCCAGCTCCATTTTCTTAACGTCTATGCGTGAAGAAATGAACTTTATTTCTTCTTCTTTTTTTATTTTGATTTGTTTTAAGAAATGGACTTTAAAAGCTTACAGTTTATGCTTGATTTTTACCTTTTTTAAAAAAATAAAGGTTAATTAATTCAAGTGATATAAATATCCAAAAAGGCCAAATGAATATTCATGGAGAAAATAAGCCTCCCTTCATCCCTAATCCCTTGTTTCTTTCCCTAGAGAAAATCACTATGACCAGTCTATTGTATAACATTCCAGAGAAATCTCGTGGATGTTCGTACACGTCTGTTTGTTAAACACAAATTATTTTTATTTATATACATATTTATAATTTACTTCTATTTTTATTTGTATATTAGAGGTTAAAAATGAATATGTAGCACTGTTATTTAAATGACTGCTCTCTACTAATATTAATAGTTGTTTACAATGTTTTATTTAATTAATTCCACCTTGAATAGACATTTAAGCTGTTTCTAATTTTTAACCACAGTAGCCTTTTCATGGGGGCCTTAGGGATTGAACCCAGGACCTTGTATATGCTAGGCAAGTGCTCTATGTCTTGAGCTAAATACCAAGCCCTGGTTCTAATGTTGTTACTGGAAATAATGCTAACATGACTTTCTTTGTTCCTATCCCTTTACCTCTCTCTAGTGGCTTTAAAATGTTTTGATTTCGTCTAAATTATATTTTCTGAATGAAAGATTATTCCTAAAACTAATTTTAGTAGATATTAATTTTGGCTTATTTTAGCTTCCAAAATGTAATCATTTGCTACTGAAGTTCTGATGAAAACCCACTTTGCCTTAATTCAACGCATTTACATCTGGGTCTGTCGTCTGTTTACAGATTTGGTTTTTCTATGTTGAGTTATCATCCCTCCTTAGCATGTAAGACTTAAGAGGTGGTGTTATAATAGAAAGTATGTCACGGAAGAAGCAAGACACAGCATTTTGATAGTCATCCATTCCTCAAGCGGTGGAGTTCCCTAGGTCTCCTAGGTCTGGTGTGGCTCAGGCCAGTGTTCTCCAGAACGAGTTCCCAGACAGAAGACTTTGCTCTCAGAATCACCCCTGTCACCTAGCAAACTTGGGTAGGGCTGGCCCCACCTGCGGGCAGAAGTTCCTCAGTCAGGTCTGCTGTTACTGTGCCTTGGATACTTTTAGAAATGGTATCTTCTCCCCAGAGGTCTGAGTGGGGTCAGGTAGGGGCATGCTAAGTCTTCTTGGGTGACCTACTGAAATAGGAACCAGGCAGTTGCATGCTTATAAAGACTTGCAGGGAATTCTAACATGAAGCAA